ATGCCTAATAATTGGAATTAACAATATAATAGTACTCGCTACCCGGTACAACTCACAAAATTGTATCCGCTTGTTAATTATGAAATCTATTCATTCCAAATTGTCCAAATTCGAATGCAATATGGATATGAGATTTGGGCGAATTTTCAACTGGTTCTTGATGTATGTTTATTTTGCATAGTAGGATAGGGATGTTTTATTGTAACCTCGTTTTCTATTGTTCCTCATGTACTGACGTTGTGGTATACGTTGTCCTCGTGTGGTGACGTTGTGGTATATGCTGTCCTCGGGTGTTGACGTTGTGGGATATGTTGTCCACGGGTGTTGACATTGTGGTATATGCTGTCCTCGGGTGTTGTCGTTGTGGTATATGTTGTCCTCGTGTACACACGAGGACAAATACCCCCAAGTCAACATACTATGATCATTTTCAACACACGAGGACAGCGTATACTACAACGTCAACACAGGAGGACAACGTATGCCACAACGTTAACACACAAGGACAACGTATACCACAACGTCAACACCCCAGCACATGATGACAACGTATACGTTGTCATCATGTGCTGGGGTGTTGACGTTGTGGTATATGTGGTCCTCGGGTGTTGACGTTATGGTATATTCTGTCCTCGGGTGTTGACGTCGTGGTATATGTTGTCCTCGGGGGTTGACGTTGTGGTATATGTGGTCCTCGGGTGTTGACGTTGTGGTAGATGTTGTCCTCGGGTGTTGCCGTTATGGTATATACTGTCCTCGGGGGTTGACGTTGTGGTATATGTGGTCCTCGGGTGTTGACGTTTGGGTATACGGTGTCCTCGTGTGTTGACGTTGTGGTATATGTGGTCCTCGGGTGTTGACGTTGTGGTTTATACTGTCCTCGGGTGTTGGCGTTGTGGTATACGTTGTCCTCGGGTGTTGACTTTGTGGTATACGTTGTCCTTGTGTGTTAACGTTGTGGCATACGTTGTCCTCGTGTGTTGACGTTCTGGTATATGTTGTCCTTGTGTGGTGACGTTGGGGTATACGTTATCCTCGTGTGTTGACGTTCTGGTATATGTTGTCCTTGTGTGGTGACGTTGGGGTCTACGTTTTGCTCGTGTGTTGATGTTCTGGTATACATTGTCCTCGTGTGTTGATGTTCTGGTATACATTGTCCTCGTGTGTTGATGCGTTTTGCTCGTGTGTTGACTCTGGTATACGTTGTCATCATGTGCTGGGGTGTTGACGTTGTGGTATATGTTGTCCACGGGTGTTGACGTTGTGGTAGATGTTGTCCTCGGGTGTTGCCGTTATGGTATATGCTGTCCTCGGGAGTTGACGTTGTGGTATATGATGTCCTCGGGTGTTGACGTCGTGGTGTATGCTGTCCTCGGGTGTTGGCGTTGTGGTATATGTTGTCCTAGGGTGTTGACATTGTGGTATATGCTTTCCTCGGGTGTTGACGTTGGGGTATACGTTGTCCTCGTGTGTTGACGTTCTGGTATATGTTGTCCTTGTGTGGTGACGTTGGGGTATACGTTTTGCTCGTGTGTTGATGTTGTGGTATACGTTGTCCTCGTGTGTTAACGTTGTGGCATACGTTGTCCTCGTGTGTTGACGTTGTAGTATACGCTGTCCTCGTGTGTTGACACTGTGTTATATGTTGTGCTCCTGTATTGATGCTGTATGTCTTGTCTCTGTTTGGTGACGCTGTGCAATATCATGTCCTTGTGTTGTAAAGTTGAGATATATGCTGTCGTGGTGTGCTGGAGCTGTGGTATATGTTGTGTCTTTATATGTTATTCATTTTATCATCGTGCGTTTATACTGTTGCATAGGTTGTCCTCGTGTGTTGACAATGGTCCGTGTGTGCTAACGCTGTAGTATATCTTGTCCTAGTGTCGTGAAATTGAGATATATATTGCCATTATGTGTTGACACTGTGGTATATGTTTCCCTCTTGTGTTGACACTGTGGTATATGTTGTCCTCGTTGGTTGACACCGTGGTATATGTTGTCCATGAGTTTACACTGTGGTTTATGTTGTCCTCGTGTGTTGACACTGTGGTATATGTTGTCCATGAGTGTACACTGTGGTATATGTTGTCCTCGTGTGTTGACACTGTGGTATATGTTGTCCCTGTGTGTACACTGTGGTATATGTTGTCCTCGTGTGTTGACACTGTGGTATATGTTGTTCTCGTGTGTACACTGTAGTATATGTTGTCCTCGTGTGTTGACACTGTGGTATATGTTGTCCCTGTGTGTACACTGTGGCATATGTTGTGCTCGTGTGTTGACACTGTTGTATATGTTGTCCTCGTGTGTACACTGTGGTTTATGTTGTCCTCGTGTGTTGACACTGTGGTATATGTTGTCCTTGTGTGTACACTGTGGTTTATGTTGTCCTCTTGTGTTGACACTGTGGTTTATGTTGTCCTCGTGTGTACACTGTGGTATATGTTGTCCTCGTGTGTTGACACTATGGTATGTTATGTCCTCGTGTGTACACTGTGGTATATGGTGTCCTGGTGTGTTGACACTGTGGTATATGTTGTCCTCGTGTGTACACTGTGGTATATGTTGTCCTCGTGTGTTGACACTATGGTATGTTATGTCCTCGTGTGTACACTGTGGTATATGGTGTCCTGGTGTGTTGACACTGTGGTATATGTTGTCCTCGTGTGTACACTGTGGTATATGTTGTCCTCGTGTGTTGACACTATGGTATGTTATGTCCTCGTGTGTACACTGTGGTATATGGTGTCCTGGTGTGTTGACACTGTGGTATATGTTGTCCTCGTGTGTACACTGTGGTATATGTTGTCCTCGTGTGTTGACACTATGGTATGTTATGTCCTCGTGTGTACACTGTGGTATATGTTGTCCTCGTGTTTTGACACTGTGGTATATGTTGTCCTCGTGTGTACACTGTGGTATATTTTGTGCTCGTGTGTTGACACTGTGGTAAATGTTGTCCTCGGGTGTTGACACTGTGGTATATGTTGTCCTCGTGTGTAGACTTTGGCATATGTTGCCCTCTTGTGTTGACACTGTGGTATATGTTGTCACCGTGTGTACACTGTGGTATATGTTGCCCTCTTGTGTTGACACTGTGGTATATGTTGTCCCCGTGTGTACACTGTGGTATATGTTGTCCTCGTGTGTTGACACTGTGGTAAATGTTGTCCTCGTGTGTTGACACTGTGGTATATGTTGTCCTCGTGTGTAGACTTTTGTATATGTTGCTCTCTTGTGTTGACACTGTGGTATATGTTGTCCCCGTGTGTACACTGTGGTATATGTTGTCCTCGTGTGTTGACACTGTGGTATATGTTGTGCACCTGTATTGATGCTGTGGTATATCTTGTCCCTGTTTGGTGATGATGTGGAATATCTTGCTGACGCTGTTGTATATATTGTCCTAGTGTCGTGAAGTTGAGATATATATTGCCATTATGTGTTGACACTGTGGTATATATTGTTCCCGTGTGTACACTGTGATATGTGTTGTCCTCGTGTGCCGACGTTCTGGTATACGTTGTCCTCGTGTGTTGATGTTCTGGTATACGTTGTCCTTGTGTGCTGACGTTGTGGTATACATTGTCCTCGTGTGTTGATGTTGTGGTATACGTTGTCTTCGTGTGTTGACGTTGTGGTATACATTGTCCTCGTGTGCTGACGTTGGGGTATACGTTGTCCTCGTGTGTTGACGTTGTGGTATACGTTGTCCTCATGTGCTGACGTTGTGGTATACATTGTCCTCGTGTGTTGATGTTCTGGTATACATTGTCCTCGTGTGTTGATGTTCTGGTATACATTGTCCTCGTGTGTTGATGTTCTGGTATACGTTGTGCTCGTGTGTTGACTCTGGTATACGTTGTCCTCGTGTGTTGACGTTCTGGTTTACATTGTCCTCGTGTGTTGATGTTCTGGTATACGTTTTGCTCGTGTGTTGACTCTGGTATACGTTGTCATCATGTGCTGACGTTGTGGTATACATTGTCCTCGTGTGCTGACGTTGTGGTACACGTTGTCCTGGTATGTTGACGTTGTGATATATGCTGTGCACCTGTATTGATGCTGTGATATGTCTTGTCTCTGATTGGTGACGCTGTTGGATATCTTGTCTTTGTGTTGTAAAGATGAGATATATGTTGTCCTGGTGTTCTGAAGCTGTGGTATATGTTGTGTCTTGATATGTGATTTATTTTATCATCGTGTGTTTATACTGTTGCATAGGTTGTCCTCGTGTGTTGACAATGGTCCGTGTGTGCTACCGCTGTAGAATATCTTGTCCTAGTGTCGTGAAGTTGAGATATATATTGCCATTGTGTGTTGACACTGTGGTATATGTTGTTCTCGTGTGTCCACTGTGGTATATGTTGTCCTCGTGTATTGACACTGTGATATATGTTGTGCCCGTGTGTACACTGTAGTATATGTTGTCCTCGTGTGTTGACAATGATCATAGTATGTTGACTTGGGGGTATATATTGGCTCGTGCGTTGCCACTGTGGTATATGTTGTCCTCGTGTATTGACACTGTGATATATGTTGTCCTCGTGTATTGACCCTGTCATATATGTTGTCCCCGTGTGTCCACTGTAGTATATGTTGTCCTAGTGTGTTGACAATGATCATAGTATGTTGACTTGGGGGTATATATTGCCTCGTGTATTGACACTATGTTATATGCTGTCCTCGTATGTTGACACTACGTGGTTATGCAGTAGTGAAGAAATGCGAGTTTCTAGACGTTGTAAATTTGTTTTTTTGCATTATTTTCCGAAAGCTTTCTGTTTTACTTTTTTAAGATTTTTTTAACGTTTCATGAACCCATGACTATGATTACTTTTTACATTACCTATATCTATATATAGTTATATGTTAAATGACGGCTTGATTTCCATTAAGTTGATTGTAGTTGGCATGTTGTGATTTACCTTCCATTGTATCATATATTCATTGTGTACCGACATGTCCCGTCGTGTTGTACGTGTTTGTTGTCCTTGCAGGGAAGGATCTTTGTCACCTATACAATTACAAGAATACAGGAACGAGTAAAATACGCTACCTCTGAGGATTCTGGCGTTGGAGGAGAACCGCACTCCCAGGCATTGACGGAAAGTTATGAGCCTAACAAAACCTGTGATCCTTCGGTTAATATGATAGAACAAGAGTCAGGATCTAACGCAGTAGCACAAAATGGAATACTGAATGACAAGAACACTGTGCATCAAAGTCAGGATGAGCTTGAAAAGCATTGTAGGGACATGGTGGTCGTTCAAATGATATCTGACTCAATCAAACATCCGGAGGCGTTCAGAGATAAATTACGATCACGCGCAAGGAGTAAACATCATCACAACTATCACAAAAGACATTCCAGTTTACAGAAACACCGGTCACATGACTTAAACAATGGTTCGGACACACTAGAAAGTATAACTTCCCTCCAATCGGAGATCAAACCAATGGACACGTCAAACTTTGGAGTACCGGTGTCCAAGCAATTTGTACCGGTGAAAAGAAAAAGGAAACGGAAATTCTTTTTGAATAATATTTACCCCGAAAATTGAAGACTTCTCCTGCTACTCTTGCGTTTACGTTTGTTGTTAGAATACAACTCATTGTTGCTTACATTATATTTATTCATTTTTTGTGATATTGCTGTTATTATAGTTGATAATGTCACAAAACACACACAAAATACTGGTTTTGTGATAATACGAAAAATGAGTAGAGAAAAACCAACAGTACGATATTTTGAAATCATAATTTTGTCATAATTTTCAAAAGCACACCCCATTAAAAGCTGTAAGATAACTAAAGGAAGACAGTTTCTCTGTTTGTTACACTGTTTGGTACATTTGTATCACGGGTTCCAAGGTTTTACTTTGCCTTGACAAGTGCAGTCAATGTTTATTCGGGGGGGGGGGGNGGGGGGGGGGGGGGGGGGGGGGGGATTATCGAAAGAGTCGAAAGGGTAGCAACGCGTATTACTATAGCAAAATATAAACGTATTTTTAGAATTTTCTTGGTATTTATTATTTATGGGGGATGCTTTTTATGTATAGAAATGGGAAACACTTGATTAGCTGACATTATAAACTCATTAAAACGTTCCTTTAATATACATTCGTATATTGATATTAAATTGTATTTGTAAACATGATATTGAAGGTAATTGTATTTTCATCAACTTTTACGGTCATATCGATTATAATATTTTTGTGATCAATTTAGCCAGAAGTCAATATCATTGTGAAGCGGTATCTGATATTTTATTATATTTGTTGAAAGTACTGTGAAATATTTATCGAGAGATCGGGTCAAATGTCCACTGATGGTATGAATTTATATGATTATAATGTTGAATATATAATTTCTTTGACGTTAGTGATACGCATGAGAAATTGCCCATTATATTTTGTTTTACGTCCAATCCGACAGTATACATTTCATAACATTATATATATGCATGTACATATCACGATCAAAGGGAATTAGATATTGCTCATCCTAAATATTGAAGTTTGTAATTGAATGTTATATAAAGCGAGGATAATTCCACTGTATTGACCATAAAAGCTGGAAAGAAGACACGTTTTATACTTGATATTTTAAATAAATATTTTACATAAAACATAAATGACGCATTTTTATATGTTTTCCGTTGGCAATTCAACCATGCAATCTACATTTAATATCTACAGTGAAACATCAACACTTGTCGTCATACAGGTAACGAAAGCTTCGAGCGTATCCAGAAACCTTCCTATTAAGTGGATAAACAAGCCATCTTCCTATCATGTGGGTACTCCAGCAATTAAAAAGGTAAAAAAATCCAGCTATCTTTCTATCCAGTGCATAATTCAGCCACCTTTCTATCAAATGGACAATTCACCAACATTCCTATCCAGTGGATCATCTAGTCACACTTCTATCCAGTACATAATCTAGCCACACTTCTATCCAGTACATAATCTAGCCACATTTCTAACCAGTGAATAGTCTAGTCACCTATCTATACAGTGGATAATCTAGCCACATTAATATCGAATGGATAATCCAGCGACATTCCAATCAAGTTGATAATCCAGCGACATTTTTATCCAGTGGATAATCCAACCACATTTCTATCCAATAGATAATCTAGCCACATTCATATCCAGTGGATAATCCAGTCCCTTTTCTATCCAGTGGATAATCTAGCGACATTACTATTCAGTGGAAAATCCAGCGACATTTCTATCCAGTGGATAATCTAGCCACATTCCTATCCAATAGATAATCTAACCACATTCCTATCCAGTGGATAATCTTGCCACATTAATATCCAGTGGATAATCTAGCGACATTCCAATTAAGTTGATAATCCAGCGTCATTTCTATCCAGTGGATAATCTAGCCACATTCCTATCCAATGGATAATCCAGCGACATTCCTATCAAGTTGATAATCTAGCCACATTCCTATCAAATGGATAATCTAGCCACATTCCTATCACTTGGATAATCTAGCCACATTCCTATCCAGTGGATAATCTAGCCACATTCTTATTTAGTGGATAATCCAGCCACTTTTAAACGAAATAGAATATTTAGTCACTATGCCGCCAATTGATAACCCAGCCAGTTTTATACCAATAAGATAAATCTGCCATCCTTCAATCTAATGAATAATCCAGCCACTTTTCTATCCAGTGGATACTTATGCCCCATCAAATAAGTTAGGGGGTTGCTGGAATCACCCTGCTTGTCTATCTGGATGTCTGTCTGTTTGTCGTCCACAGTAACTTGTCCGGGAAAATACATCTTAACTAATCGGCAGATTTTTTTGAAACTTCACTTGAACGATCAGTATATTATATAGTTGTGCACTGGTATTTTGATTGCTGATTTCAACACTTGTTAAGGGATTTACGGCCCCATATGCGAAATAAGTTGTCTGGAAATCTCCATCTTGAATAACCGACAGATTTTATAGAAACTTCGCTTGAACGTTTGCACCGGTATATTCATTTTAGATTTCAACACTTTGTGAAATAGTTATGCCCCTTTGTGCTAAAAACTTGTCCTCCTTAATTAACAGGTGTATTTCATTGAAAGTTTGCATTAAAGCTCACTATCTGATGTACATGTACTTGGGCACCGGCATTTTAAATTCCAAAAGTCAAATTTATATTTGCAATAATACCAATAATACTTTTTGGTGTAAATGACATCATTATGATATCGATATTTGTTGCCATTATATGGTCCGAATTTTCATCATTTTCTTTTACGTTGGGTTTTTTTGCGTGTATATTGATGACACTTCGCTTATATGTCAAGAGCCAAAATATCTCGAACAAGTTCTCATTTCAGTAAGTTGACCCAAAGGTAAAGGTCACTAAATGATGTATTAGCTATCCTCCGGATGGCAGTTCTAGTTCAGCCACCTTCCTAGTTAGTGTATAATCCAGGCACTTTTATAACAATTAGATAATTCAGTCACCTTCATATCAAACTGGTAATCTATGACATTTTCTTCCAATTAGATAATTCATCTATCTTCCAATCTAGTGGATAATCCAACCAGTTTCTTATCCAGTAGCTAATTTATCTACTTTTCATCCAAAACATATAATTCAGCAACGTCCTTTCCATTTGGTAATCCAATCACCGTCTTTCCTGTTTGTTATTAAACCATCTTCCGTCCCAGTAGCTTATTTATCCAGTTTCTGTTTCAATCGAGAATCCAAACACTATCCTATCCGATAGATAATCCAACAAATTTCATTGATATTAGATCATCAAGATTCTTTCGTTTTTAGAATATCATTCAGCCATCTTCATTAACGGTGGATAACCCAACCACCTTTCCTGACGATGGATGTTCTAGTCACCTTTAGATCATGTAGATAATCTAGAAACTTTCTATATGGATGATAATTCAGCCATCTTCAGATCCAGTAGATAATCCAGCTATTTTCATTTATGATCGATAATCAATCCACTTTCGTTTATGGTGGATAATATATCTACTTAACTTTATTCTGTAATATATAGTCAAGACACCTTCCGTTCAAGTAGAAAATACAGACGTTTTCCTTTCAAGTAGAAAAAAAAGCCGTCGTTCCTTTAAAGCACATAATCAAGGCACTTTTCTGTCCATTTTGAAAATCCAACAACCTTCATGCCAAGTTAAAATCCCTAATGTATTCCTTTCGAAGATACTAATCAGATTTCTCCTTTTCCCATAAATAATCCAGACACCTCCAGTAAATTATCGAGACACCTCCGTTTCCATCCAATTAGCCAGACAGTCCCCTCACCAATAAACAATCCAGAAACCACACTTTTAAGTTAATAATCCAAACACCTCCCTTTTTCATAATAAAAATCAAGACGCCTAGGTTTCAATAAATGGTGGAGAGGAATTAATATAAGCTTATAGCTTGTTTTACGATCCTCGTTGTATCTGTACTGTATTGTAATGTAATGTGCAAGTGATGAAATAAAATATTGTTTAAAAAAAAAAAAAAAAAAAGCATCTTCCTTCCCAATGAAAAATCATCCAGACCCCGCCCTTTCCAGTACATGTTACTCTTCCAGAAACAAGTTTCTTTTCCAGTGAATACCATGTTTGGTTTGGTTTGTTTGTGTTTTACGTCTTATTAACAGCTATGATCATTTTACGATCCCGCGACCCAATGGTGGAGGGCAAGTGGTAGCAAAATGCCAGACGCCTGAAACACTTGGCCATCGTTGCCCCTCAATAACCCAGACACTACCCTTTGCAATAGATCACGAAGACATTTCCTTTTTCAGTAAACTTACAGACATACTTGTTTTTAAGTAGATACTCTTTCCAGTAGATAATTCATACACCACATTTTCAATTTGATTATTCAGATACACGGTTAGATAACCTTGAGATATTTGTATAGAGAAAACAACGGTAGTTATTGTTCAATATTGATCGTAAATAATGTATCACACTGCTTTTGACATCTCGAAGGATATGTTTACTCAAAAACCTAAGCGTGTTGACATCGAATATTTAGATTCACCAAAGCAATATGAAAAAGATGAACACCCCTTGGAGTTCTTAATATTGGATTCTGTGCACGGTGATTTCCGTTTAACTGCAGATGTTTGAACAGGAACTGCAACGCTAGAGTAAATGTTTTATACCACGTAGGGAATCTATATTTTCTGAGATAATATAATGATAAGTCGACATATTACTCTCTTCTTGTAAAAATCAGTCTACATACCACTGTCTACCTGTACATATAACTACAAGTCTATATACTACTGTCTACCTGTACCAATAAGTCTACACGCTACTGTCTACCTGTAACAATAAGTCTACATACTACTGTCTACCTGTAACAATAGGTCTACATACTACTGTCTACCTGTAACAATAGGTCTACACACTACTGTCTATCTGTAACAATAGGTCTACACATTACTGTCTATCTGTGTACACACTACTGTCTACCTGTAACAATAGGTCTACATACTACTGTCTACCTGTAACAATAGGTCTCCACACACCTGTCTACATAAAACAATAGGTATACACACCACTGTCTACCTGTAACAATAGATCTACACACACCTGTCTACCTGTAACAATTGGTATACACACCACTGTCTACCTGTAACAATAGGTTTACAAACTACTGTCTACCTGTAACAATAGGTCTACACCCTACTGTCTACCTGTAACAATAGGTCTACACACTACTGTCTACCTGTAACAATAAGCCTACATACTAATGTCTACATGTGACAATAAGTGTACACACTACTGTCTACCTGTAACAATAGGCCTACATACTACTGTCTACCTGTAACAATAGGTCTACACACTACTGTCTACCTGTCACAATAGGTCTACACACTACTGTCTA